TATTTCAGAATCCTAAAATATAAATTATTATAATACTCTTGGTGTGGTTTGTATATTATTAGCATCTTCACATTGTTTCAATGTGAAACTAGATTCACTTACAAATGTCTTAAACACTTCAACCAGAAAAAATCTTCCACAAATTTAAGGTGCATACTTTTTAATCATAGCAGCACCAGGACCTATTTATAAAAATATTATATAATATTTATATATACTATTAATATAAAAGCTGATTTCTTAGATAGAGCATAATATTTGGTGAATTTTGATACAATCGCAACAAACATTTTCTTAATTGTTCATAATTAAGATAAATCATCTTCCCTATTTCTTCTCATTTGACTTTGCTTGCTGCTGTATCCCTATATTTTAAGTCAAGCGCGAATTAGAAAAAATCATCTATGGGAACATTTTAATTTTCCATTAAAAATGGCTTATATTTTTTTTCCCGCTAGATTATAGCCATAAATAAATAACCTGTGTGACAAATTTCGACTTGATTTTTTGGGAGAAAATAAAATAAACATGTTTTAAGACAGTTTTTTATGCATATTCTAAATCCGCTGACAGTTTTTTTCTAGCACGTCAGGTTTTTTTATTTATTTTAGGTTAAAGTGGCCAAAAAGGTCATTTTTAACACTTTTTGAAGGTTTATAACTTCGGTTCTAATGATCCCTACAACTAAAAAAATATCTTAATTTTTGCAGTAAACCTTCCTTATTATTATTATACATTTTTTTAAATAAAATCCTTACTCAATTTTTAAACAACCTATATTTTTTAAATTTACCTTTATTTATAAAATCTTTTTTAATATAGCTTAATTTAATATATTTATTTATTGTGGCTTTCGTTCTCTTGGCTACACTGCACACGGTACGATTCCCAAACAATTTATTTTAAATGAAATAGTTATATTTCTCATATTTAAATAAATATATTATGCTAAGCTAACCTATCTCATAGGATTGCGATCATTTTGAGATCGCAGCATATCTTAAATTCGTAAATGGAATAATTTATTTTTGACAATAAATATTTCATATTTTCATATGATTCATTTAACTGGTTGGAATAGGCGATGGGTATTGATGGCTTAGAATTTCCGTTATGTAGCAAAACTGCTTTCAAGCTGTTTTTGCTTGAATCAATGAACAAGCGACATTCATCGGGCACCAATTCAATATTAAGTTGTAAAAAAAAGTTGACCTAAATTGTTGGAATAGTATAAAAAATTTTCGTAAGAGAATAAATTTTTAAACGATGCTCCACGGAATCGGTATGAAGTTCGAACTCCATTTTTTTAAATTTTAAAATCATTAAGCCTTGAGGATAAAAAATCGGACTTTCTTTTTGAAAGTTACAAATTTCTGGTTATGTCATTTAGTTGCTCTTGTGACATAAATGGCGAATCCTCTTCGGGATGATACTCAAGATTAATATTGTAATTGTCCTGGCAACGTAATTTTTCCAGCTGCGAACTATTAAAAAAAGGAACTGTTGTATGCATATTATATTTTCCGGATAAACAACTACGAAATTTCAGGATAACGAATTTCGAGCAAAAATAACAATCCCACGAATGATTTCTTGCTACGTGCCAAAATGCAGGTTTCGAATAAGGCAAATATGACCGTTTTCCATTTACCAATGAATTAAAAGAATTATAACATGTTTTACATATGTAATTAGGGGCAAATGGTTTATTCAAATCGCAGAGTGGAATATTGTAATAAATTTCATAAATCCTTTGAATGATTGGAGAAATTGGACATTTTTGTGCGGGCAATATATAGCCCGCACAGATGTAACAAAATTTAGAGACACACTTTAAGGGGACCTCGGCATTAATTTTTGTAGATAAGGAGGGAATTTGAATAATATTTAAAATCCAATTTTAAAAAAAAATGAATGAAAGAAATTAAATGTCTATGAAAAATTAAGCGCGAAAAAAAATAATTCTTCTCCTTTCTTCCTACTCGTTATTTGGCATTATTATTTATTGCCCATACTACGGGTTCAAGGTACTCCATTGGAAATCATATATTTTGATATAAATTGATTAAAAAAACAAATATTCTTAAATACATCAAAAAAAGATAAATAAAAAATATGAAAAAATTACCAATTATTGCATTTTAAATGAATTTTGCTTCAAAATTGCTCAATTCAAAAAGAGTACAAATTAAAAAAGTGGGTACAGATATCTGATTTTGGTATAAATTGATCATAAATGCATAAAATATTACTAAATACAACTAAAAAAGATAAATATTACCTTAATTTTGCTTTAAAAATGCTTTATGCAGAGAAAATTCAATAAAAGTGTACAAATTAAAAAGTTCGAAAATATCTGTACCGACTTTTTTAATTTATAGATTTTGGTTGAATTTTCATGGCATAGAGTGCTTTTGAAACATAATTAGAATTAATATATAATCTTGAGCATATTTGAAGCAAAATTATAAAATTTATCTTCTAAAGTTAATAATTTTGATAGTAATTTAAATTGAAAACTTGAGACCCCCAAAACGAAATTCTTTACCATATTTCTCAAAAACCAGTTGATAAAAAATTATAAAAATTAGTAAATTTATAAAGAAATATAAGTTTAACACTATCATCAATTTTCAGGGATTTTTATTCGATACTTTTTAAAATATATCCGTATAAAGACCTAAATTTTACCATTTTTGAAATTTCGAAAAGTTGTCTTTATACGGTAATATTTTTAAAACTTGACGTATAGCGAAAATTTGAAAAACGGATTCGAACTCGGCGGCAAATTCTGCACCAAAAATTATTTTTATTTTTTTCTCCCATTTTTCTTGTTACACAATTAATGCTAAGTAGAACAATAATTCTACATAATAATATGCTTAAAATGTCTCAATCACATATAAATATTCGGCTCTAAATTGAACTCAAGCTAACTCCTGAACCGGTTTGAGCCAAATTCTGAGCCAGCCGAATCATGTCACAATGAGCTGGCTTGAACCTGAATCAATATCTCGACTCAAAAACTGTCTGAGTTTAGGGCTAAGTTGACTTGGCTCAGCGTTTAACTACACTAACAAATATATAAATTTCAACTCAAAAGTCGGCTTGAACTAATTCCTGAGCCAGCTTGAGCCAACTCCATAGCTGGCTTAATAATTTCATGTTATCAAAATAACCACCTACCAAATTAAGTTAAAATCTCTAAAGCCGAATTCGGGTCCAGAACCATTCTTAGTTTCGACATAAATATTTTTATTATAATTTTTGTTTACATTGATCAGTAACCCAAAATTTAGCAATTTACCATACATTTGAGTTAGCTGTTTATAAAAATCGACTCTAATGGAGTCGTTTTACATAATAAATGTAAAAAAATAAATATCAAATATTATAATTTACTTATAAATAAAAAAGAATAAAAAAATTGATCCGACCCAGTGAGTCGACTAAGTGAGTCAACTAAGTCGGCTCATGCGGCTCCTTGATCGGCTTGAGTTGGAGCCTTTTTTTTACGACTACGACTCATGTTGCAAGTCGTAAGAACTTCACTTTTTAACAACACTAAATACGATTTTGTAGAACTCGCAAAACGTGACCTGGCAAATCTGATAAACTAATTATAATCTGTTGGTAACACCTGTCAACTAATGTATTAGCATTAACATACCTAAAAACTTCTTATTAAAATATTTACAATATATTTATCAATTGTTATATTTATTTTGTAACAATATCATATGCTTTTTTGAAAAAATATATGGCCGAAACTTAAAAATAAAATACAAGATAACTTAAATAGAGTACTTTTGCAAAGTTACGCCAGCCGGTCCTACATAAATTGATCATCATGTATATTAATTGCAAATGTAATATAATATAAATTTTATTTCATTGTGATTGTGGAATAAATGATAGTAAATATTTAATTTATAAATATCAGAATTACCCCTTAAGGACGAAGGGCGTTCAATAATAAAATATTTACACCTCCCCTTTCACAAGAATTTTACTGATACGATCCTATGTCTTACCCCCTGAAAATTTTACCTACGATCCTTTGTCTTACCGCCCTCTCTCATGCTAAAAGCCGCGCTGGCTATTATAATCATCTGTGTACATAATAATTTTATTTTTCTTCCAAGAATAATGAATTAAAACTTAAAAGTCAATTTTCTCTGAACAAAAAGATATCTAGAACACTACAATAGTCAAGTGATATATATAGGTTATCTATAAATTTTACAACTCAATATTTTAATTTTAAGTAGGGGTATACTGATACCACTTTTGGAGGCTGATCCCATATTGTCAATATCAAATTGATATCGACCGATTACCTATCCGATATCATATCTGATCTAATATTCTGTAAACATACTAATCGTTTTAATTTTTAATGCATCCACACATCTCATACTTTTTAATAATATAACATATAATATAACATAACATAACAATTTATTATAATGATCATTTATAGTTTATATTCATGAATCTATAGTTATCTAAAATATTTTTTATTGATAAATCATTTATAATAATAACAATAATCTATTTACATAATAAGTAATAAACAAATATATCTATCAAAGACCTGAAAAGGTACCATTTGCACAGCCCGGCCAGGATTTTTTAAAATATATTGGTTTTAATTTATAGCTAATAATGGCGATTTAAAATATACATCTCTGTCCTCGTATTTTTTTAAGAAAAATTTTCAGGCTCGTCTCGGGTATTTTTTTAAAATTATAGGCCCGGCCCGGGTATATTTGAAAAATTAAAATACTGGTCGGGCTTAGGACAGGTCTATATGAAATATGAGATTTGAAATAGATTTTTTTGGATTAAGACGCCATTTTATTGGATCGAAATAATTATATTGGCTTATAACGGTATTTAAAAAAAGATTAATATCGGTATATTCCTTATTTTAAGATATAATCATGATTATTCGTCAAGTTTATGGCTAATTTTATCTTATATACACTTTTATGCAGGAATCAAACAACATGTCTGTATATTGGGTAATAATTTTTTGAATAATTATTATTTATATCATAAATTTTGATATATAGATTTTAATTTATATTAGTAACCTTCGTGAGCTTACCATACCATAGCTTAAAAAAAGAGAACAGTATGCTTTGCATAAATAAATTTCGGATTTTTAGAAAAATATATATGTCCGCCCGTAACCTTTTTATAATTATTTCATATTCATTAAATTTTTTTCTAATAACCGACTGAGTTTTGATCCATATATAATAATCATCCAATATAATATGTTTAAATACATTATATGCTCATTTGTAAAACTTAATTATACTAATAATAAAAACCACTAATTTCTTTCACAAGTACAAGTTTATAATTTTTAAATAATGACTAATCTAAATTTTTTCAGAAAAAAAAGCTGAATCAAAATTTGTTTTAAAAAATGTATCACATCCTAGTATTCCTAAAGCTCTTCAGTAAATTTTAACGAAATATAGCTACCCAAACCCCCTCCTTAAGGAATCCTTTCGTTTACGTTAATGACTAAGTTGAGAATCGACCTCATAATCAATGCCGACTTGAGGCATGGACCTTACTGGCATTAGTTAGAGGCAGCTTTCTATTATGGCTGCAAAATTAAAAGGAAATTTTTTTTAGGAACATTTTTTCGAATGAACATTTAAAAATAACAATTTATTCAATAGACAACCTGCAATATTTTTGTATGAAACTTTTCTTCTTTCAATTACTTTATTTGTATTCCTTCTCAGTTGGTAACTCTCTTGAATGAATAGTGATTATTTGTCGGTTCATTGTTGATAAGCACAGATCCACATGAAAATGTAATCTAATTTTTCTTTAATTTTTTTAATGATATTGAACAGATCTTCCTCTAAAATATATTCAATATTGGAATTTTAATTTGGAAGATTTACTTCCGCACTTTTTTGAAATCTCTACAGGAATCACTGAATATTTTTAAGGCGTGGTGATGACTTGATGTCTGGAGATGCCTAAAAGATTATTTGTATCTTTTATAGAGAGGCCATCTCTACCTCTTTTTCAGTAAAAGAATTTGATGAATAAAATTTTTAAATACTCTTTTTAAAATGTTAATTCCAATAAAATTAACTTAATTCGGAAGAGCGGTAAAAATAAGGGTAATAACATTTTTTTCTATGATGTTTGAAGAGAATAAAATATAAAAAAAATGTTCACGTATTTTGTTCTCTTGTAATATAAGTTTCTGTTTTAAAACAACGATAAATATTTTATGAAATTAGTTATTTTTTTATATAATTGCCCTTTTTGGCTCTGATAAATTTGGAATTAATAAAAACTTAAAATATTATTTAAAAAAATTGAATGAAATTTTTTTTAACTATGCTCTTCATCTTTAATAACAAAACTCCCATATATTTTTTTTACCAAATAATAAGCCATAAAACATTATTCAAACTTGTCTATATGATTTGGTTTTGTTATGGGATGGAGCTGAACCTTTTTTAATAGTTGAAATTCTTCAAACAATATTACCTCAATAAATGAAATTTGCCGATAAATATTGGTTGGTAGAATTTTTCAAACTTTTAAAACCAACTTTGATATGCAATGACCCAAAATTTCAGGATTCTCAATTATGGCATTATCCACATCTTGATTCATTTAATAGTATTGTTTAACAACTCTATATAACGCACAGGCGCTTAACTTAGAAGTACCATATTTTTTAATAATTGATTTTTGATGACTTCAAAATTTTGGTTTTAGTATTTTTTATGTATATTATGTGATATACTTTGGAAATATCAACTATACATATAAAATATAAACCCAAACTCATAAGCGGCGTATCAGGTCAATTCAGCGAAACTTTTATCGCGAAATTTTTATCGCGAATGTTGTTTATTGCGAAAAGTTTTTATAGCTGAGGTAAAATCGCGAAACCATTTCTGCCAATTTATCTCCGCGAAACATTTATCGCGAAGACAATTTCGCGAAACTTTGTCGCGAATTTATTTTCGCGAAACCTTAACCGCGAATTTATTAGAGTAAATGCATTTTAGCGAAACATTTTACGCGAACACTTTACAGCGAATTTTTTATCTCGAATATGTTTGCTCGAAGTCATTATCACGAGCGCAACACCACGAAACAATAAATATATTGCGAATGCATTTATTTAAAAGAAAACAACATATTATTTATTATTTGATGTTTTTTAATAAAAAATGATATGCTACAAATTGTAATATTATTTTTGTTACGATTTATTAGTGATTTTCAGGTCCAAGATTTTAAGTAAAAAATATTTCTTGAAGTTCAAAAAGATTTTTGAACATATTTTGATAAAAATTTTAAATCTTCTTTGTAAATATATTTTTTTTGAGGAATTCTTTTGTGTAATTTATTATAAATATACAATTTTTAAGTGAGATCTTTTATAGTTTTTTTTTATAATTTTTGTAAAATTATCTATTTCTTAAATATATTAAAAGAGGTGGGTTTTCTAAATAATTTTTTTAAAAATATTTTCAACTTGTTTATGTTATTTTATATGATCTTTTTAAGGAGAATAATTTAATGTGACAATTGTCATATTCGTTATTTTTTAAGATTCTTGAGATTTATTGACTCAAAAGGGTAAAAATATTATTTATATTGTAAAGATGTTAAATTATAAATTCAATGAAGATGTTCCTTGGAAATATGGCAATTATCATAATCGGTATTTTTAAACATATTAGATATTTTTAACGCTAATGGGCAAAAATATGTATTTTTAACATGTGAAATTATAATTTCAATTAGGATGTACCATATAAAAGCGAAAATTGTCATAATCATTATTTTTAAAGTTATTTTTACAATTTTTTGACGTATATGGGCAAAAATATAAGTTGTTACATGTTAAAATAAAATCTCAGTGAAGATAACCATAGATATAAGTACAATTATCATTCGTTGTTTATAAAGTTTTTTGAATTTTTTTGTTGCAAATGGGTAAAAATATAGATTGTAAACATGCTTAATTAAAATTTCATGAAGATCTTCCATTGAAAAGTGACAATTTGTCATTATCGTTGTTTATAAAGTTTTTTGAATTATTTTTTTGCAAATGGGTAAAAATATAGATTGTAAACATACTAAATTAAAATTTCATGAAGATCTACCATTGAAAAGTGACAATTGTCATAATCGTTATTTTTAAAATTTTTTGAATTTTTTTGACCAAAATGTGTTAAAATAAGTATTGCTAGTATGTTTAAATAAAACTTCAGTGAAAATGAACCCTAGATAAGTGACATTTATCATAATCCATATTTTTAAAATTTTTTTTACGTAAATGGGCCAAAATAAGTATTGATAACATATTTAAATAAATCAGTGAGGATGTAAATAAGTGTCAATTGTCAAAATCGTTATTTTTAAAGTTTTTTGTATTTTTTTAACGAAAATGGGTAAAATAGATTGTAAACATGTTAAATTTTCAAGAAGATGATAGAAAAGTGACAATTGTCATAATCGTTATTTTATAACTTTTTGAATTTTTTTGACGTAAATGAGCTAAAATAAGTATTGCAAACATGTTTAAATAAAATTTCAGTGAAGATATACCCTAGATAAGTGACAATTGTCATAATCATTATTTTTAAAGTTTTTTGACGCAAATGGGTAAAAATATAGACTGTAAACATGTTAAATTAAAATTTCACGAGGAAGCACCATAGAAAGGTGATAATTGTCATAATCATAATTTTTAAAATTATTTTTTAGACGCAAATGGGAATATAAATTGCTTACTTGTTAAAATAAGATTTCAGTGAAGATGTATTATAGATAAGTTACAATTGTCATAATAGTTGTTAATAAGGTTTTTTTGAATTTTTTTGTTGCAAATGGGTAAAAATATAGATTGTAAACATGCTAAATTAAAATTTCATCAAGATATACCATTGAAAAGTGACAATTTTTATAATCGTTATTTTTAAAGTTCTTTGATGTAAATGGATTAAAATATAGATTGTAATCCATTTTAACCATAATAAAATCTTAACATTAAATTTATAGGATGATGATTGTATCATATTACTAAATAATATTCATATGGTTTTTAAGTTCTTTCTATAAAAATCCTACCCTGAATTCAGACTCAGCACTATTTTGCCACGAGTATACAAAAATATTTGCTAACTGTGAATGCAAGGTTATACATTTTTATAATGTAGAATTAAAATTTATTAATTAAAGGAATAAGATTGTGAGTCCATATCTTAAAAGTTTAGAATTTAACATTGGTACAACTATCTTTACTTTGCATATTTTTATCAAATTTTAAGCAGGATAAAAGGAACAACGAATATCTATTTGTTTTTTTGTTTCGACTGAAATTTATTTTAACATGTTAACAATTTATTTTTTTGTCCAATTGCGTCAAACAATTCAAAAACTTTAAAAAAACGATTATGAATATTATAACTTATCTAGGGTACATCTTCACTGAAATATTATTTTAACATGTTAACAATTTATATTTTAGCCCATTTGCTTCAAAAAAATTTAATGACTTTTAAAAATAACTATTATAACATTTGTCACTTTTATATGGATCTTCATGACATTTTTACAATCTATATTTTAACCCTTTTGTATCAAAAAACTTTAGAAACAAAGATTATGACAATTGTCACTTATCTATGGTACATCTTCATTTATATTTTATTTTAACATGTTAGAAATTTCTAATTTCGCCCATTTGCTTCAAAAAAACTTTAAAAATAACTATTATCACAATTATCACTTATCTAGGGTATATCTTCACTGAAGTTTTATTTAAACATGTTAGTAATTTATTTTTTGCCCATTTGCGTCTAAAAAGTTCTAAAAACTTTAAAAATGATTATGACAATTGTCACTTATCTAGGGTACATCTTCCTGAAGTTTTATTAATACATGTTAACAATACTTATTTTAACCGATTTAACGTCAAAAAAATTTTAAAAATTTTAAAAATAACGATTATGATAATTGTCACTTTTATATGGTGCATCTTAATTAAAATTTTAATTTAACATGTTAAAAATACATATTTTACGGTAAAAAAATCTAATATGTTTAAAAATACCGATTATGATAATTGTCATTTTTCCAAGGAACATCTTTAATAACGAATATAAATATTTTTTAAAAATATTATTTAGAAAAGCCATCTTTATTATGATATACTTAAAAAATAGATAATTTTACAAAAATGATAAAAAAAACTATAAAAGATTTCACCTAAAAGATTGTTTATTTATAATAAAATTCACAAAAGAATTCCTCAAAAAAGATTAAAAATTTTTATCAAAATTTGTTTAAAAATCTTTTTGAACTTCAAAAAATATTTTTTCTTCAAATTTTGTGCGTGTGAAAATCACTAATAAATTGTAACAAAATTACAATAGTAGCATATCATTTCTTTTATTAAAAAAATAACAAATAAAAGAAATCCATTTTTCATTTCATTTCATAATATAATAATATAAATAAAAAATATTTATCATATAATTATGTTTATTTGTTGATAAATAAAATAAATTATTTTAATAAAAATAAAAAAATAATAATAGGCCGCGTTGTATTTCGCGAAATAGTTTTCGCTATATTGTCTTCGCAATTTATGTTTCGCGATATTGACTTCGCTATAAAATTTTCGCGATTATTGATTCGCGATAAAAATTTCGCTCTAATGTATTCGCTTCAAAGGTTTCGCGATAAGAGTTTCGCTATAAAAAATTCGCGGTATTTGTTTCGCTATATTGTTTTCGCTAAAAAGTATTCGCTAATGTGGATTCGCGATAAAAGTTTCGCTATAAAATTCATTCGCGATAAACAACATTCGCGAAAAAGTGTTTCGCGATAAAAGTTTGGCTGAATAGACATGCAACCCATAAGCGGATTCTTATAAATAGATGTCTAATTTAACATGATTAATGCCAACATTTATTATCAATTAGAATACAAAATATAATTGTAAAATAATTCAAGAGAAATTTGTAATAAATTATATACTTTTTTTATATTTATACGTTCTTATTATTTTAATAAAACAACATATTCGTGAACACTGATAGTGGAGATATTGCATAAGACTTGAAAATTTATTAGCCCAAAAATGGGCTGTCCAACTACTAGAAAGACATTGGCGAATATTCAGTTTTTCCGGAACGCTCGAAACAGTTAGAGGGAGAGGCGTTGTAGGACAAGTTTAAATATTTATACTATATTTCTTTCCCTATCCCTTTATGTTAGAGCGCCTTAGCCTATATTTGGGGTTGTGCCGATATTAAATATAGGGTCGGATCGAGGCTTATTTAACATATAAGGCCAACATTCCCTAAAAAACCGATTTTTTTTATCTAATTCTCAAACGATATATGGTCATTATTTTTCTTTATTATTATTATTTCTTGTCTATATATACTTGTAATATAAAGAGAGAAAGATATTTACGTTTAAAAATTTAAATGTCAAAAACCGGAAATTAGCTATTAAAAAATTTAATTAATTATTAAATATGCAAATTTACAAGTTGGGCTGAAAAGGCTTAGGAGATATAGCATTTTAATCATCAGCCAATTGTAAGATTTCTTAATAAATATTTGCTAAATCATTCATTGTAATATATTTAAAGCTTTCAAATATTTTATGTATTTAAAAGATTTGGGAAAATGAGGGCGGGGGGGGGGGCATTGTTAATTTTTGTTATATATTTTCATTCCCAAAATACCAATTTTTCTCTTTTCTTCCAACAGTTTTTCGTACTTGGCGTCGTTTTCATTTTTTTAAGTAATTTTTATTATGATTATAAAAAATTAGTAAATATAACTCAATAAATTTCTAATGTATAAACAAATTTTTTTTCCTGTTGCAATTCATTCAATTTAGATAAACATTCACTTTGGGTAGGTCTAAGAAATGTGCTTCTTTGGATGACTGGCTAAAATAAATCATTAACGATAAAATTTGGAGTGCCTGCCATAAAAGATTACATGCTTCAGTGGCGTATTCAAGATTTTCTTATGTGGGGGGGGGGGGATTTTTTGGGGGCTTCGCCCCCCAATTTTTTTTACCTGGCCTTCGGCCGGGTCTTATGTTTTAGCTATTCTATTAAATTATTCATTATTTAAATAATAATTATATTTCTATTTTTAACCTTTATTTACTAATTCGTGCTTATGGATATTACAAGCCTATTTTTTATTATTTTAAGTTAGGTATATTATATTTAATAAAGTTTTTTTAAATGTAAAGTTGGAATAAAGTTTAATGTCATTTTTTTTATAAAATTAGCTTTAAAAACTAGCCTCAGCTTAAATTCTCACAATATAAGTAGAATATATTTTTTTATTGAAAATACTAATAGTAGTGTGTATAAAATATTGACTATAAAATAATTTAATAAACAAGTTTTTTTTAACTTATTATCAAATACAATATTATACAAAATTTTTTATTAAATACTATATAATGTGATTTTTAATTTTCGTGGGAATGTTGCCAATTCATCAAGAATTTCGTTTGTCGTTGGAACCAAATCTCTGTGGATATTTAACGGAGCTAACCCATTTAGCCGAGATTCCGAAGTAGTACTTCGTAAATATGTTTTCAACCTTCACAAGTTGGAACAAGTCCTTTCATTCGTACATGTTGTAATAGGCAAACATGCAAGAATATGAAACAACTTCAAAATATTGGGAAATTGAGCAAAGGTTTCTTTATACCGATTGAGCCCATCAATAGCATGCTCAGGTAAAATAGCTAAACGTACTAAATATTTATACCACAATTCGAATTAACTGATTAAATTTATTTCAGTATCAATATCATAGGAATAAAAATTTGTTAAATATTTAATTTTACCAATAGTGGTATTAGAAAACGAAGAAGGATCTTTGGGTAATAAAACTTGAAGATTGCTAAAGACTTGTTTTTATCTAAAACCTTACTTTTATTTGCGACAAAAAAGTATCTAAGATTCAACCAGTATCACATTTCCTTCAACATACATATTTCACGAGATGCTGCCTTTGTATTTAAATGAACATTGCCATTAATAGGCGAGTACCAATTAAAAAAAACGCGTAAATAAAAAAAGATATACTTTAAAAAAAAGTGAAGATCTAGGAAAAAATTAAGAAAAATATTTTGAAAATTTCTTTAGAAAATAATTTTAATATTAGCAATGAATGTGAAATCATTAAGCGATTGAAAATAAATTTGAAAATACCCATTAAAAATGATATTCAGATATTGACTGTGTTATCAAATTCTTTGACTCTAATACAGGAAGCATTTTCTACGACTGGATTTATGGCAAGGATAGCAAAGAAATTGGTCAAGGAAAAGGTTGTTTTTTCTAATCCAAATATTATAATGACTGGGAGTGTTCTTCAATACTATATTATAGATATTATTGAAAATTTTTATAATTCTAATTAAAATAGTCTAATAACTGGTAAAAACCATTTTATATCAATATAGGTTAAAGGAGAGTCGTCGTGCCAATTACAGAAAAAAACTCATTTTGTGCATTCTAAGGAATTTGATATAAAAGTGAGGTTTAGTAAATGTGCTTATTTAAGATGATTAAATATTGTTTCTTACCTGAGGACCAGGAACCCATCATGTGCATTATTCATCAAAATTTTAAATTGATATTGATCGGCGGAAGATTTGCCCAATAATGTCTAATGATATATTCCCCATTAAAGACTATCAAGATTCTATTGCACAATCTCTCTAATCCTGCAATTTTTGATTGTTACTTTAAAAAATGTAAATTTTGTTCGTGGTTCCTCAATCTAGAGAAAAGTTTGAGATATCATTAGACAATAGTGCAATTTATTATATAACTTTCAAACAATGGTTATCTGTTGATCGAGCGACTCTTAAAACATTTTGCAAGTTGACATCCGATCTTTTTCTAAAAATTAAATACGTTAATCCTACATTAATTTATATCTTCGCAACAGTAGGCATTTCACAATTCATTAAAATCAAGTTTAAATATTGCTGAATTTTTAGTTATATGAGATTTCTCGGAAAATGTTGCTTTTGTTGCGCAGGAATACGTTCAGGGATTCCACTGGAATACTAACCACTTATGCTGTCATTATGTCTAAAACACAAAGCGTGTGGCGATTACTTATTCCAAACTAAAATGATCAATGTTCTTAAATCAAAATTTCAAAATATATCAAATTTTTTTTATTTTTCTGATGGCCCAGTAACGCAATATAAAAATTTAATAATTTTTGCCATCATGAACTTGATTTCGGAATCAAAGAAAAATGACACTTTTTCGCAACAGTCAATGGTAAAACTGATTGTTGGGAGGAAACCAAATAGTTAGCAGCAAGAGCTAGCCCTCAGTTTCCTTATGAGAACCAGATATTAAATACTTAAGATATATTTAATTTTTATATAAAAAATATCACAAGGATTAATTACGGGTTTGTAAACGACCATGAATATGAAAAATTGTAACAATCTCTTGAAACAAGGTTTCAAAAGGCTAAACGCATTCCCGGAACACAAAAGTTTCATACATTTATACCTCTTATGGAAAATAAAATTAAAGTTATATATTCATATTGTGAAATTATTTGATCTGCAACATATAAATTTAAAAATTTTATACAATTAAATTTTGCCTACAATAAAATTATAATCAAAAATTGATTTGTATTTTGTAGTTATTTTTATCAGTGTTGTTATTAAAGTAGCGGTAGCTTTAGCGCGCTACTTTAAAAAAATGGCTATAGTGGTAGCTCGCTACTAATTTAGATTTTAAATAATATATACGCATAAAATTGTTAAGATATATTTATAATTAATTCTAAAATCATGATCTTTTTATTTAATTTAATTTTGAATTATATTTATATTTAAAAATCTGCTATAAATTTAGTTTTCTATTGAAGATAATTGTGGTAGGGATCATATCGACAAAGTAATTTTCTTGAAAAATAATGATAATAAGGAATTTCCTTTTCCTGAATTTGCAAAATATTTTAATCTGGATGAATAAATTAACAAATGGTGTAAATTTCATTGTAAGATTTGCAGGACTTTATCATCAAACAAGTCTAGTACGAGGAAACATTTAAAGTAATATATCAAACAAATTTAATATCAATGTATAGCCCAATCCTTAATATTTAAAATAAAATTTGAATAGCTGTATCTATAATAGTTTTAAGCTAGATGAGTTTATGTAAAAGTTTTGGCCCAGTCAAAACATGGTAAATTTCAATGGACATAAGATATTATTCAAGAATTATCAATAAATAATAAACATTAACATTTCATTTTACCATCAGACTCATCTATTAAATGATAATATTTTATAAATTATTATCAGGATGTTAAACTTGCTTAAAATTAACCACTTATCTATTAATATATTTACAAATTTTATCAAAACATGCTAAAAAATACTTTTTCAATCCTTTCACATTTTGACCAATTTTGAGAAAAGTTGGTTCAATAGATAAGGGTGAGGGCCTGGTCAGTAGATAAACTTGGTCTTCGCCTACTCATTAACTATTTATTACTATTATAATTTTAGACTGACCCTAGCCAAATCAAAAACGCCGCCTACTATGGTGATTTTTTTGAAATTAGGGATGTACCGATATTTTTATCGGATCGGTTAGGGCCGATATTTCACCCATTTTAAAATATCATGAAATTTTCCTATCCGATCCTATAAAAAATGGCGTTTTTAACAAAAATAAAATGTTATAAATTTTTAAAAAGTTTTATCTAAAAAACCATTTATTTTTATAAATAAAATCTAAATTCATTTTTATGTTTATTTTTATAATGATAATAATTAATTAATAAACATTCTGCCATATTGTTATTTTTTTTACGCATTCTGTTTATAAAAGTACGCGATAATCTTTTCAGTATCTGTTTTTAGTGAAGCTGGTGATATTGACAGTCCCCATCGCCGCAGACTGACCTTTGATAAATTGGAAATTTTGGTATTTCTAAAAAGAAATCTTCGATATATTAATTTCAAATTTCAAAATATATTTGTTTATTACTTATTATGTAAATAGATTAATGTTATTACTTATTATATAAATAAGTGATTTATCAATAAAAATATTTTATATATTTTTAGAATTGTAATTGAATTGCATATAAACTATAACTGATCATTATAATATATTTAAATGATATATGTTATAGTATAGTTAAATTATAGATGTTATACTAATAAAAAGTATATTAAAATTTAAAACCATTGGTATCTTTACAGAATAGAAAATTAGATTTGATATCGGATCGGTGACAATTTAATATCGAGAATATCGGATCATCCTCCAAAAAGTGGTATCGGTACACCCCTGTATATAATAATATTATTGAAAATCCTTTAGACGCATTTTTTTAAATCTAAAAATAATTAGTTTGATGTTTTTTCTTATATAAAAAATAATACCGCATTGTATGCTAGTGTTGAACAATTATAACTTATATTTTCTGATCGTCGCTCTAGACCTGGGGATGACAATATTTATTATTATTGAGATGCAATATTAATAAATAAATTATTTGTGGAAATAGAGATACGTAAAAAAAATTCTATAGTATTTTTAAAGTAGCTAATAACGCACTACTTCCTGATTTTTATGAGGAGAGAAATTTCAATTCATCAAATAAATTAGTTATAGCCCCCCCCCCCTCCCCACTATACTTAAATATAAAATATTTGATAGCTCCCTAGCCGGGTCGTATTTTAATTTTACCGGGGCCGGCCTTATAAATTTTTTAAAAAAATAACTGGGCTGGGCCTTATATTTTAAACCAAATATTTTAAATCGTCATTATTAGCTACAAATTAAAAATTAATAAAATATATTTTAAAAAATCCGAACCAACTTGTGCAAATGGTATCTCTGCAGGGATCTGAGATTTATATTACAATTATTGATTAATATCAAATATTTATAAAGAAATGATTAAAATACCATATCTCCTAAACCTGTGCTCGACCCAACTAAATTTTGCATATTTATTAATTAATCCTATAGCTATTCATAAATAAAATCTAAGAGAGAGAAAAAATGCCGATTTGATTTTATCCATTTCCGGATTTTGACATTTAATTTTTTTAAACAAAATTTAACATTATATTACTTTAAAGGCCTTCCATTAAGCTATATAAATAAATTTAAATCTTATAGCTTAATTGTATCTAAAGATTTTATAATTAAAGGGAGTGCATTTTGTCCAAAATGTATTTATTCGACTTTCAGAGCCCCGTATCTCAGCCGCTGTTTGGAGTTGGAGGCTAAAGTTTTATTTTTCTTAAATCAAACTCTTGTAAAAATTTTAAAGAGATCTGAGGGGGTCGGGATGAAAACCATGTTTTTTTTGTTGAATTGTCATATAATTCAATTATTATCTATATTTTTTGCGCCGACATTTTATCATGCGGCACATTAGTCATTTGATAATTACACTTAATCACACGATTTTATTTACTTACATATTTTTTCAAATTTTTTTTGTTTCATTTTTAAGAAATTTTTTTAAATTAAAAAAAAAAATTATATAAAGTGTAATTATTTAAAATAGCAATATATTAAATATGACAAAAATATTATGATTAAAAAAGCTTATAAGTGACAAAATGTAAAATTCGAAGTTTCGGCTAAGGTGATTGATAAGATGTACTGATTTAATTTAGCCTAAGGTTGATAAACGTAAACATATTTGATGGATTTTTAACAGCCTCCGATAAATGCCATTTCCATCAAAAATAGAACGTAAATATAAAAATAATTTATTTGGGACTAAAAGAAGTCTATGAATCTAAGGACTTGAAACCTTGGCAGAAATAGGAGAAATTATTGGCTCCTCTGAGCTCATTTCCTATTGAGTTGACCTCTATCGACGTAGAAATCCTAGTAAAATTGTATATTTTGTTATAAATTATAAGGCAACTAAATAATTTTTCAGCTCCTTTCTATAATGTATAATTGTGATACAAACATAATTATACGTTTGGTGTCGTCCGAATCCGAACAACAAATTGTGTTGAAGGCTGTCACTATTGAATTAAACCCCTATGCCAATGTTCTCAACTGACATTTTGGAAATTTTTAAAGGGAAGGGGACATAAATATATGTACAAACATAAGGCCCTATATCAAGTCGTAATGGGGAAAACACCATGCTTCTTAGAAAATATAAAGATATTAAAAATGAGTTCATTGATGTGTTTTAAATTATGGAATTTCGGATTTTATCACAATTTTAAAAACAATTGCCATATTTCCTGGATTTATTGATAATCTATATTTGCGATAATAAAGAGTATAAATTAAATTGTCTTATTGCTTATGTTATAAAATAAGATAATAATTAAGTAAGAATATGGGTACTTATCTATCCCAAGAAGAACTAATGATCTTAATTGGAATCCATCTCAAACTGCAGCTTATGCAAAATCCAGGTAGATAGTTAAGGACACTTGATTATATTGCAGATACTCGACATACATTTACGCCATCTTGCAATTAATGCTCTCATACAAAAGATCCTATCTACTTATTCAATCAATTTTAGAGCCTACAATACCTTAGGCAACAAACTTCCAGATGGAATAACATCCACTCCTTGGAGAAGACTGCGTTTAGCTTGGGACTATGCCTGTATAGACTTATTTGCTAAATCAATAAACACATCTCTTCAATCACGTCTGTACCTCAAACATTCTTTTTCAAAAAATGCTATATTTTTTACCTTTTGTCACTTCCATTTTAGGTAACTTTGGCATTGAAGCATCACTTTTCTTAAAACCTTTAGGGAAAACAACTCTTTTCGGCGACCCCAAGGAAAATCTTTATCTCAGGCAGAGAATATCTCTTTAATGAATATCCAAGCATATACATTTATGAATCTAAACCTCTGTAATATTCATTTATAGATTTTTAATTTTTGTCATATGGTTTTTTATATATTGTAATTATTATACTTAATATATTTTTTAATGTTTTAACTTTTTCACAGAATAAAAATAAATACATATTTTTTAAAAAAATATTAAAAAAAAATAATAAATTTTTAAATAAAATTGAAACAAAAAGTAACTTTTTAAATAAATTAAACAAATAAATTATGATAAAGTGTCGAGTTATCAAATGACTGAGTGATAAAGTGTCGTCATGATTAAGTGTAGCATGATAAAGTGTCTACAAACCATTTTTTGACATCTCAGAGACCTGCAGAGGTACCATTTGCACGACCCGGCCCCGGTTTTATATTTTCAGGCCCAGCCCGGATTATTTCAGACCCGGCCCAGCCCGAGTATTTAAAATTTTTTAGACCCGGCCCGGGTATATTTAAAAACCCGGTACGGGCCTGCAGGTCTATGATATTTTTATTAAAATAAATGCATAATTTGATGTTTTGCATATGTAATAGCCGTTTTTAAAAATCGGCTCAAAATGTGCCGACAACTACTCGGACATCTGTTTAAACCTTCAAACCACATAATAATTCATATAAATAGCTATAAAAAATTCCTAGTTTGTCCGGAAGGAGTGGTTTGTTTAGATGGAGTAGTTTGCCCAAGGCAACAAGTTTTAATTATGTTATAAGCTTTAATTTATGATTATTATATATATATAGAATGTTTATATTTGGAGGATGGGTGCCCGATTTTTTTAAATTATATTTGGTTCAAAGATAGATGATAAAAAAAATATATAAATATCAGATCGGGGTCGAGTCGGCGAAAAATTTGTTCGGCACAATCCTACTTATATTTAGTTTGCTTAAATTTATCTCATAATTTAAATTGATTTTAGTTTTAATAAGTTAAGATGCATGAAGTTTGTTGAATATTAGTAAATCAAATTTATAGTTTTCTGGTAAATGTGTTTTTTAATTATTAGGAGCCGACTCTTTATAAAGATTTGCCTGCTTTTCAATACAGTAGCCACATTTCCTTGCAATGCCCTAGTGGACATATGTGGTTTATTAATAAATTATTTTAGTATTTGATATTTAAATGAATTGATAAAAATCTAAATATTTAGTATAAATATCAGTCATAGGCATAGCCAGGATTTTTTTAAGGGAGGGGGAGCCCCCAGACCCCATTTTAGGCGGGGCTCGGCCCGCTTTTGCCTGGCCTTCGACCGGGTTTTCTTAGTCTATATATAGTCATAAAATATTTTTACAAGATAGGAGGTTAATTTTAATAAAAAAATATATAAAATATAAGAAATTGTTTAAGAGATTAAATCAAAAATAAGCCTTGAACAAATAGGAAATATATTTTTATTAGTTTTGTAGTCTTACCAGAAAAGTAACTAACAATAACTTTGCTTTTGTAGATTTTATTTTTGGTAAAATATATATTTTTAAAAAATAAATTACAATCTTCGAATCGTAAAAAAAAAACATTATTATTATTTTTAAATAAAATACAAAAATATCTTTGACCTCATTTCTTTTTCATATAAACATATAATATATCTTTGACATCATTTCTTTTTCATATAAAAATATAATATATCCTTGACATAAACAAAAATCCTGGGCAAATTATATATATTTTTTCTAAATCACTATGCAAAAAAAATTTTAATCAGCGTATAAGCATTCCATAAATGATTCAAAAAAAAAATTAATCAGCGTATAAGCATTCAATAAATATTCCCATAATTTTTTGTTTAAACCATATTTTATGTCTGCATTTTATCATTTCATACACTTTATCAGATCTTGATAATTATCCCAGTATTGCTTTTAGAAGGTCGATTCTAACGTTGCCATCCTCCTTTCTTTTAGGCGATTTTAGTAGTATCCTCATAACTTTTTGTCCTCCTAACATAGTGTCGTTCCTCTTTTACGTTGGACATACGATGTACGTGGGTAGTGATTGCTTCTTGATTACACGATTATCTACATCATTGAAACCATTGAAATCTACATCTTTATTAACCAGGAACTATCCTTAAATATTTTCTTTCTTTACAATTTCCTCTTTCAACCATTTCTATGCACTCTCTTCCTCAACTGATCCCTGTGCCTGACACCTTCACTATTATCATCAAATTTTACCCTATTTAATTTGTTTCCTAAATTCTCTATTACAACTCCTTTCTCCCATTTTTTTGTACTTCCATATAATCTAATCCACACTAACTGTCCCACAGTATATTCCAATTCCCTTCTATCAATATCCTCTATAACTACCTCAGCTTCACTGGGTATTAACATATCTAAAAACATCCTAACCTTCCGGCCTATCATTTTTTCTGCCGGAGACAAACCATCATTACCCATCGCATTATTATAATACAAATGCTTCACCCACATTTCTCCTTTTCCACTTTTGGTTTTCTTCAACCATCCTTTAACCGTCGCTACCATCCGTTCCGCCTGTCCATTGGAACTGGGATGATACGGTGGCGTTAACACATGATATACACCCCTTTTTTCACAGAATCTCTTGAATTCTTCCCCGATAAAAGCTGGTCCACCATCCGATACTACAGTTTTCGGAATACCAAACTTCGCCCATATTTTTTTAAAATGTTTAATCACAATAGCCGTTAACCCATGAATTTCTTCAAACTCTATCCATTTGGAGAACGCATCTGCACTTAATATATACTTTTTTCCTTCATATTCGAAAAAATCAACATGAACCCTCTCTCCTGGTTCTACAACTTTTGGTGATGTACTATTTTTATCCTTACGGGGCATGTCAGACCATACATTACAAATCTCACATTCTTTTCCCAATTTATCAATATCCTCGTTCATTTTCGGCCACCATACATACTCTCTTCCCCATTGTTTCATACGAGTAATTCCTTGATGACCCGCATGTATAACATTCAAAATTTTTTCCCTCAATTTCCGGGGTATAACAGCTCGGGGTCCCCTCATAATACAATCGTTTACTATAGTTAATTCTGTTTCAATATTTTTGAAAACTTTATCATCATTTTTCCATGATCTCTTTCCCATTATACATAATTTAACTACCGCTAATTCTCTATCTTTCCTTGTAAACCTTTGTATATCTTCCCATGTCGTTGGGCTACCCTTTATACTTCTCATTATCGTACGTACAAGACATTTTTCCCGATTATCAATTTTCAAAATCACCGATTCATCCAAACTTTCGCCAGCACCTAACCTTGACAAAATATCAGGTAGCTGGTTCTCTTTTCCCCTTCGAAATTTTAAATCCAAATCAAAACTTCCTACTAACAATAACCATCGCTGAAGTCGAGGCGATAACATCAACTCTTTGTTATCTTTCTTGAATAAGTGGATCAACGGCTTATGATCTGTAAAAACAACAAACTTCCTACCTATAAGGTATTCACGACATTTCGTGAATCCAAAAATCACAGCTAAAGCCTCCTGCTCTATCACTGAATACCTCTTTTCTACTTCTCGAAACACTCTCGAGAAAAATAAAACAGGTCTTTCCATTCCATCTATCAAATGCAACATCGCCCCACCTAATCCTCTATTACATTATTATATTAAAATCTGAAAATCATTATTTTAGTTATATTTTGATAAATGCGATATCTAGTCAATAATGTTTTCAGCTCATTTCATACATTTTCACAATAGAATCCTAATTTAGGTTTATGCAAAGCTTATATAAGAGTATTAAAAATTGTAGCTGTATCTAGATTAGGCCTATTCAAAAACGAATTCGAACCGAATAGTGCATTATTCATATTCGATTCGTTTAAACGAATCCATTAATTTACTATTTGAATTCGTACGAATAATAAAATCTTCGAATTAATTTTTTTAATAAAATAAATCATACTCAAATATATTGACAAATTTTTTTATTACAAATTTGATTTTAAACAGAAAAAATTATAATAATATGTAATCAATAATCTGATAATAAATAATATATAATCAAGTTATAAACAAAATTAAAATGTATATTATTAATTTAATTTATAATTTAAGCCAATTTTTAAGGCAAAGAGTTTTTCTTTTATTTTCTTCCTTATATGACATGCGGTTTTTTGGCAATAAATTAGTTCCAACTGAGAAATGCTTTTCACAAGCAGTTGATGTTCGGTTAATGATGCTTGCTACCTTAAGGTACTACCTATCAAATTTGAATTTTGTTTATTTCATTTGGATAGGCACAACCAAATATATTTATAATATATATTTGAAAAATCGTCATTTTTGGAAAGCCTCTATGGCCTACTCGGCAAGAGCTTCGCTTACTTATCCCATAGTCACGGGTTCGAATCCCGGTAATGATTATGTTTTTTTTCTTATTCTTGGGGAGATCATATATAGGAGGCCGGACTCGACCACGTGATTCCATTATAATATATTAAATAATAAGTCTTATTACATTTTAATAAATTTTGGTCGGTATTTAACAAATTAGGTTGGTATTTAGAATATTTCCATACATTCACTTAGTAGTAAGCATAATTAACCTTGATGTTCCTTGTATAGATAGATGATCCCTTGTCATTTTCGAGAGCATGGGGATTGGATATGCATTTGCCTTCCACCACATACGAATCATTCTAATAATGTTTCTTAATTTTAGAATTGAAGGATCTAAAATTTTTAAAATTTCTTTGGATATTAAATTAATTACATGGGCAAAGCATCGGATGTGCCCTATTTTTATTAATGGATATTTTAAAGAAAATGTATCAATAAATGTTTTATTATTATTTGCATTATTTAAAGTTATATAAAAAAAATTATTCTTTAAATTATAAATTTTAATTATTTTAACAAAGGCTTTAAATATATTTTCACCTGAATGTGTTTCATTTATTGGACTGACATCCAAAATTATGTTATAATTATCATCAATAAAATGGGCTGTTAGCCCTAAAAAAGGAACCTGTGTTGCTAGTCCAAATGTCAGATGAAAAATTAATCTGATTTTTATTTTTATATATTTTTCCTTTACCAACTGTTCTTTTTCTGCAAATATATTATACATGTGCAATTTAAGAGTATTGGAGCATATTGATTTTACAGAACAATCAACATCATTTATAAAATTTTTAAAATCATTTGAATTAATAATTTTAAAAGGTTATTATTATTTATCAATAGTTTTAATAAATTATCCTTAAAATTAATTTTTTTTTGAAGAATTTGGTGTAGACTTTAAAAAAATGTCAATTTTATTATTTTTTTTACTAAGGTGTGAATGAAACCTATTATAATGATTAATAAGAGGAGATGTTGTTTTGCCTTTACATTTTATAATACTCTTGCATGATTACAAGCAGCCTTTTCACTGTCTTTAAGGATTTGATATTGATCCCATATGATTGCTCTCTTTTGTGAGGAAATTTTCTCATCTTCAACATCAAGCATAATTTCATCAGAAGCATTCTCCTCTAACATAATTAGGCTAGCTAACAATAATTATTGTAGAGATGTAATATATTTTTATATACCTCTGGTTTATGTAATTTTTAATATAATTTATTATGAGATTCAAAAAATAAACTTTTCGTGAGATTCAAAAAATGTGGCAAATAAAAATTAAATTTTCACTAGAAATTTTTGAATTTGTATTAGAATTTTTATAAACACAAACACATCACCTGTCAGATTGGCAGTTCAACAAATAGAAATGACAAATGTTAGATTTATTAAACAATTTATTAAATATTACGAATAATTCGTTTTATTCGAATCGAATAAATGATTATTCGTATTCAGAAAAAACAAATAATTTATTATTCGTATTCGTAATTATTCGATTAGATTCGAATTATTCGAATTGAATATTCGAATTATTTTTGAATAGGCCTAATATATACACACATTAATACAAAAACATTGTAATATTTTATTCCAAACAAGTATAATAATTTTCTTTATAAAAAGTAAGTAGATATATAGTTGATATTCCTTTATTATATAGAATTTGTTACAGAAAATTAGGTAAAATGCCACTTTTACAGACATATTTTTCAGTTACAGTTAATATTTTAATAAATTTTTGTTTTTGATAATAAATATAAGCAACAATTTGCATTTAATTCTTTAACGCCATCTATTTAATTTAAATAAATAAATGATATTAAAAATTAATCATCATATTATTTATCCCACAATGGATATACCTTATTAGATATTGACGCTACTGAAATATAGAATTTTTTTTTCATTTACATTCTTTAAAATTATTTTTTGATGTTCTTATCAATATTTTATAGTCTTCTGTAAAATATATAAATCACTATTGGTAAAAATTATATGATTGTCAAACGATAATAGATAAAATTAGATATACAATAAATCTATGACACATAATATTCCATTGTTTATATTGTGCGCATTCATTTTTTTTATTTAATTTATAATTTAAATTTATCAATAATTTTATAATTATTACTTTTATTAACTCACTTTATAAAAAATTATATTTGATATATTATATTATTTAAATTTTATGGACCACTTTTTTTATATATAAATGTTTTTTTTTAAAAAAAAGTATGAATTATAATGAATAGTTTTAGTTTAAATAAATATTAACTTTTACATTCTTTCTTTTAAATTATTGTTTAAGATATATGCATACATTTTTAGGGAACAGGGGGTGGGGAAAGGACTTAGGAGGATATTTTTTATTAGATTAAAATGATATTCACAAAAAGTGATAAATTTTTAAAGGGGTGGGAAAATTTCCCCTTGCCCCCCCCCCCCCGGCTACGCCTATGATATCGGTAAATCAGTAGTTTCCTGGTATATAGATTGTCTGGTTAATTTTAAATTAAATATAGGGGAACTTTTCGAATGGAAAGACAAGATGGCTATTCCTTTGATTGCAAAATTCCACCATTCGCACTTGATAGCGGAAAGAACTATGATAACTAAATTGAATATCTTAATTCGACATTAACTTCCTTTTCTTTTTATATTACCTATTCAGTAATAATATATGTTTATATTAAGTGTTACTCAAATTAAGAATATTTATAGTACTGTGAAGTATAAATTCTGTTAATATAATATATATCTAATATTTTTGTTTGATATGAACATATCTTTTATATTATGGGCCTATTTAGGTTTTAAATATGTTATGTTTAAAAATCGTCAAATTGTCAAAATTTTATTAAATTTAAACATAAAATTTCATATAGTAAGAATGATTAAGGTCTTAAAATATGTCTCCCATAGAGGTTTGCATGCCCTACATATTAAGGGTACAATCAATCAATTATAATTATCGTTATTAACAGCGTCTACATGACAGGATTTTCATTGGATGCAAACCCCCTTCAAAAGCCTATGCCTATCCCTCTAAAAAATTTTCGCCATCTTCGGCGGCGATGTTTCCCTATTTTTAATTTCGCCTTTTTAATTATAATGATACTCTATCAGAAAATTTAAAAAGAATACTTAATTATTTTATCTCTACTACCAACTATCGACATTTTTTGAAGGAGTTATTTTTTAGATAATAAATTCAATCAAAACCCTCATCATTTACAATGAATTCATTATTATAGCATTATGAGCTTGCTGAAAATGTCTAAACCTTTTAAATTACATTTATAAGGATAGCAGAAAGTTTTATTTGGAAAATAATGTTTAAGATTGTTTGCAATATATAGATTTGGTTGATGAATTGTATTATAATAGGTAGTGTTGTTAATTAGTCGAGTTCTTTCGACTACGACTAATCATGGAAATCGACTAAAAACATTAGCGACTAAATTAGTCGACTAATTTAGTCGACTAAAACGACTAATTTAGTAACGACTAATATAGTCGACTAAAACAACTAATTTAGTCAGCATAGTCGACCCATTTAGTCTACATGCTTAATCGATTAATTTAGTCGACTAAATCAATTTTTTGAGCCTAAACCTGACCACTGTATAGTCGGGGTTAGTCTAGTTCTTCCGACTGCTTGAGATATCTGAGAGAAAAGTGACAAATATAATATTCGTTATTTTTAATAATTTTTTGTTTTTATTAATTTTTTTGGAACAAATGGGCAAAAATATACATGTTAAATTTAAATTAGGATGTATCATAGAAAAGTGACAATTTTCATAATCGTTATTTTGAAGTTTTTTGAGTTATTTTAAAATAAATAGGTAAAAATATGTTTTGTAAAGATGTTAAAATAAAATTTCAGTAAAGATGTACCATAGTATAATATATATTTTTACCTATTTACTTTAATTAAATTCAAAAAAGTTCAAAAATAACGATTATGGCAATTGTCTGTTAAATTAAAATTTCAGTGAAGATGTACCATAGAAAAGTGATAATTGTCATAATCGTTATTTTTAATCTTTTTTGAATTTTTTTAAAACAAATAGGTAAAAATACATATTGAAAAGATGTTAAATTAAAATTCAGTGAAGATGTACCATAGAAAAGTGATAATTGTCATAATCGTTATTTTTGAACTTTTTTGAATTTTTTTAAAACAAATAAGTAAAAATATTTATTGTAAACATGTTATATTAAAGTTACAGTGAAGATGTACCATAGAAAAGTGAAAATTGTCATAATCGTTATTTGTGAACTTTTTTCAAAGAAAATAGGTAAAAATATATATTGTAAATATGTTATATTAAAATTTCAGTGTAGATGTAACATAGAAAAATGATAATTGTCATAATCGTTATTTGTAAACTTTTTTGAATTTTTTCGAATCAAATAGGTAAAAATATATATTGTAAAGATGTTAAAATAAAATTTCAGTGAAAATGTACCTTAGAAAAGTGACAATTGTCATAATCGTTATTTTTTAACTTTTTGAAAAATCTTGAATAAAAAAAATATTTTTATAATCAATTAAATGCGCGTTTAAACAAATTTATAAAATCTATCTAAATTGTAAGAATAAAAATGGTTTTTAATATTTCAAATGCATAATATTATAATGAGATTTAACCGGTTAGATTGGAATGTGTTTGGGGAAAAAAAATATCGATGGAATGCGTGTTTTATATTAATGGCTGCAAATCTTAAAAAACAACAAGCAAATAGCGACACATTTACCATAAAAATGATTTTATCATCCAAAATATTCAGTCCTCTTTCATAATTTTGCATCAATGAAATATATACAATTCCAATATATCAAAATTTAATTGTAGATTAATGATACAAGAAATTTAAGTAAATACTTTTTCCTTTAATATTTCCTTTACTTTTAGATTACCAATCATCCTCAATTATTATACATCAATTAATAACCAACAAGTTCTTTTATATTATTCCTAACATAACACTACATTATCAATTCTACCATTCTTACCAATCTTTACAATTTACCCTTATTTATACCAAAAACTGTTGACTATTATAAAATTGTCATCCAAACATTTTATTTAAAAGTACAAAACACAATCAATATTCACACTTGAAAAGGAAAATACATTTAATCTCTTATCTAATTATACTATTGATTCAAATCCTTTAAAGCAAGCTAATTTGCTAGTGTTGCGTAATCGGCTAATTTTAGCCGACTAAAAACGGCTTAGCCGAGATTTTAGGTGGAAAAATCGGCTAAGCCTAATTAGGTATAGCCTATAAATCGGCTAAGCCTAAAAATCGGCTAAACCTAAAATAATTTATTTTATTTATATTTAATGTAAATATTTTATTATTATCAACAAATAAACATGATATGATTTAATATTTTTTATTTATATTATTATATTTTGAAATGAAAATAAATTTATTTATTTGATGTTTTTTTAATAAAAAAAATAATATGCTGCTATATTGTAAAAATGTAATATTCTTTATAATATAATTTATTAGTGATTTTCGCAATCTTCTTTGTAAATACATCTTTTATTGAGGAATTATATTGTAAATTTTATTAGATAAATAAACAATCTTTTAGGTGAAATCTTTTATCATTTTTTTAAAATTATCTATTTATTATTAAATGAGGTGGATTTTATGAAACTTTTTTGATGTTATTTTATATGATCTTTTTAAGGATAATATTTTAATGTGACAATTGTCATAATCGTTCTTTTATAAGTTTTTTGAATTTTTTTGAAGAAAGTATGCTAAAATAAGTATTAATAACATGTGTAAATACAAATTTAGTGAAGATGTACCAATGAAAAGTGACAATTGTCATAATCGTTATTTTTAAAGTTTTTCGAATTTTTTTGACTAAAATATGTTAAAATAAGAATTAATAACATGTGGAAATATAAATTTAGTGAAGATGTACCAATGAAAAGTGACAATTGTCATAATGGTTAATTTTAAAGTTTTTTGAATTTTTTTGACGAAAATTTGTTAAAATAAGTATTAATAACATGTGTAAATATAAATTTAGTGAAGATGTACCATAGAAAAGTGACAATTGTCATAATCGTTATTTTTAAAGATTTTTGAATTTTTTTGACGAAAATATGTTAAAATAAGTATTAATAACATGTGTAAATATAAATTTAGTGAAGATGTACCAATGAAAAGTGACAATTGTCATAATCGCTATTTTTAAAGTTTTTTGAATTTTTTTGACGAAAATATGTTAAAATAAGTATTAATAACATCTGTAAATATAAATTTAGTGAAGATGTACCATAGATAAGTGACAATTGTCATAATCGTTATTTTTAAAGTTTTTTGATTTTTTTTGACGAAAATATGTTAAAATAAGTATTAATAACATGTGTAAATATAAATTTAGTGAAGATGTACCAATGAAAACTGACAATTGTCATAATCGTTAATTTTAAAGTTTTTTGAATTTTTTTGTAGAAAATATGTTAAAATAAGTATTAATAACATGTGTAAATATAAATTTAGTAAAGATGTACCAATGAAAAGTGACATTTGTCATAATTGTTATTTTTAAAGTTTTTTGAAGAAAATATGTTAAAGTAAATATTAAAAACATGTTTAAATAAAAATTTAGTGAAGATGTACCATAGAAAAGTGACAATTGTCATAATCGTTATTTTTAGTTTTTTGAATTTTTTTTAACGAAAATATGTTAAAATAAGTATTAATAACATGTATAAATATAAATTTAGTGAAGATGTACCAATGAAAAGTGACAATTGTCATAATCGTTATTTTTAAAGTTTTTTGAATTTTATTGACAAAGATATTTTAAAATAAGTATTGATAACATGTTTAAATAAAAATTTAGTGAAGATGTACTCTAGATAAGCGACAATTGTCATAATCGTTATTTTTAAAGTTTTTTGATTTTTTTTGACGAAAATAGTTTGCATCGATATTGATTTTAAAATAGAAAAAAAAGTTTACCCAAATTTAAAACAAGATTGTCTGGTGAAAATTGGTAAAAAAATAATAATTTCTAACTTAGGATTAGATATTATGATATAAATTTTGCATATTAATTTCTGACCCGATGAACAAATGTAATAAAATGCAATTTTCTCCTGTTTTTGGGGAAGAATCTATTATTACCATATGTTTTTCTATGGCATACTCAGGCAATTTTAATTTTACAATCTATATTTTTACCCATTTACATCAAAGAAATTTTAAAAATAACGATTATGACAATTGTCACTTTTCTATAGTACATCTTCACTAAATTTATATTTACACATGTTTTTAATACTTATTTTAACATATTTTCTTCAAAAAACTTTAAAAATAACGATTATGACAATTGTCAATTTTCTATGGTACATCTTCACTAAATTTTTATTTAAACATGTTATTAATACTTATTTTAACATATTGTCGTCAAAAAATTCAAAAACTTTGAAAATAACGATTATGACAATTGTCACTTTTCTTTGGTCATCTTCACTAAATTTATATTTACACATGTTTTTAATACTTATTTTAACATATTTTCTTCAAAAAATTCAAAAACTTTAAAAATAACGATTATGACAATTGTCAATTTTCTATGGTACATCTTCACTAAATTTTTATTTAAACATGTTATTAATACTTATTTTAACATATTGTCGTCAAAAAAATTCAAAAAACTTTGAAAATAACGATTATGACAATTGTCACTTTTCTTTGGTACATCTTCACTAAATATATATTTACACATGTCATTAATACTTATTTTAACCTATTTTCTTCAAAAAAATTCAAAAAACTTATAAAATAACGATTATGACAATTGTCAAATTAAAATATTATCCTTAAAAAGATCATATAAAATCATCAAAAAAGTTTCATAAAATCCACCTCATTTAATAAAAAATAGATAATTTTAAAAAAATGAAAAAAAAATTATAAAAGATTTCACCTAAAAGATTGTTTATTTATCTAATAAAATTTACAATATAATTCCTCAATAAAAGATGTATTTATGAAGAAGATTGTGAAAATCACTAATAAATTATATTAAAAAGAATATTACAATTTTACAATATAGCAGCATATTATTTTTTTTATTAAAATAACATCAAATAAATAAATTTA